AGGGGGAAGGGAAGGAAGGAAGGAAAAAGGGAGGCAGGGAGGAAGCAAGATTTCTGATGCTCCCTGCCAGCTTCCCACAAGCAAAGTCAGTGGGGAAGGTGGCAGCAAGTCATAAGTCACTCCCACTCCCACTGCTTTTTTACCCTTGTCATTCTGTTTCTCTTTTTAGTTAAGGAGATATATCTGAAACGATGACCCAATGGGTCATGAGTTGTTAAGTAGTCTACTACATTTTCATTCCACAAAAATATAGATAAGATGAAAGTGTAGTGATATTTTTGAAAATCTGGTAAATTAAAACCACCATTATCAACAGGTAATCTCAAATTACCTAGTGAAATCTGTTGTGGCCTATTTTCCTATATAAATTTCCTCAATAATTTGTTATGTGAAGAAAATATCAGTTTGGAATTAACATTGGAATACCTCTAAAAACATACATTAATCAATAAGCAATATTAATGTTAATAACATTAATCTTGCTCCACCAATGTGGAGTTTTAATCCATTTATTAATATCCAAGCAACATTTTCTAATAATTTAACATATTTATTTCTACATATTTAGAAATATTTTAGGAATATATAGTCCTTGATAATTAATATATTATGTAGAAATTACAGAATCCATATTTTTATATTGATCTATTGATAGATCAGAACTCAAAGGAAAGTTGACTTCCCCAGTTAATCTTATAACCTGTTTATTTAGTAAACTGTTGAACCACTCATATAATTCCCAGATCTATATCTAATGTGAAAGCTTGAATCACTACAAAGGTTGTTATACTTTGCATGAAGATTTATCCCACCTTGGCCTTTGTTTTATTCTGAAATCTTAAATGGGATCCAGCCTGATTGATCTAATTGCAGGAATTGACTGAGCTGGAGCAACAATTAATGTGTAAGCTCCTAGTGATCTCTGTAACACACTTGCTTGCCCCAGGTGTTTTCCCCACAGCATTTTATGTAAAAATCCTGTTGTAAAAAAAATAAAAATAAAGCAATGCTATGAAACCTTAAAACTATTTTCAGTAAAGTTGATAGCTATCCCTTACACACAGAGATAGTCCCATGAAAGTGTGTGTGTGTGTGGGGGGGGGTTTATTTTATCATCTTGTGGTCTGCAGCTGAAGTGAGAGTTTAAGGCACAGCAGCTGGTTAGGACTGTCTTCTCAGTGAAGTTGGCATCCACAAAGAAAGCCAGGAGGCTTCACAATTTGCAACTGGCTTTTTAAAATGAATGTTAAGTACTTCTTTAAAAACTGTGGTCCGCATCCAAAGAAAGTAGTCAAAGGGTTCCAAAAATGTAAAGCCTCCAATAAGCCATATCTCACAAGCTTTAATTGCCTATTCCTAAATTTATGTAGGAGCAATTGTTTTGTCATTTTTAGTTTTATGTTAAAAATATATTTTAATATTTGTATTCTGATTTTTTTTTTTGCTTAGAAGCATTCAAACAGTCTAACCATAATGTGATGAAATTCTGTTAGAAACTAATTTTTATAAAGTCAACTTTGGTAGATTATTCTTCAGGTATTACCTGCATACTCAAAGTGTAAAATATTCCTGGGATATTTTTCTACACAAATTGATTTCAGGATAGGATACTTTACAATTACTATTTCAAAGCTGAAATGCAATGGTATTGATGTATTTATGTATATATTTCATCAAAATAGGTAATAATCCCACAGCCGTTTGCAGTTGTTGTTCTGTTTGACAGTTGGCTATATATCAGAGATTTTATATTTGAATCTAGCTGTCCCCAAGTTGTCAGTGTGCTCAGAGAAACTGAATTCAGTTTCATTTCCCTAAAATCAGCAAAAATGGCAAATTTGCAAATATTTGTTGCAGGTATCTACAGATTTCTTTTGGCACACATAAGAAATACTACGGTAGGGTTATTCCTGGGTCTTCCATAAGTTACATTTCAATCTCCTATTCTTCCTGTATCACTTGAAGGCCCTTTCCTGCTTTTGTGTATCCAGAATTTCATCAGTGATTGTGTTGGAAGTTTCCTATAAACTTTCTTTTCCTTTACATTTTTCCTCAGTTTCTAAGTATTCCCAACATATTAGTTGAGGGTCTTAGATAAAAATTAACATCACGTCTTTAACATGTTAATACCAATGAATGCTTTATTCATGAACAGACACGAATGAAGACTGCACGGATCTCTCGCTTCTTTTTAAAAGGTCTCTGTCTTGACATACAGCGCTAGGACAGCCCAGTTCCTGAGAGAGAGAGAGATTCTAGCACATTCA